ACGACATGAACATCAGTCCAATACAATAACGATTACAGATCTCTCTCTCTCTACACTCCTTATATGTAACGGGAAGAGTGGGACTTTCCCACTTGATTTGACTCACGAACTCTACTGATTCACGAAAGTATCAATCACATGCTTTCTTGTTATCTTTGTAGAACTTCGATGTTTTTTCTTCTTCCTTCTGCTGTTCGTCTTGCGATGCGATGTTAATACCCATATCGATGACGTCTTTTCATGATTCATCATTGACTTCGATGTATAAAACGAAGCAACATCAGTGTGTTGCTGAAGCATTGACATATTCGGTATTAGTCCATTCTATCAGTGAAACATAGCTACATCCATTAGATTCAACAATTCATCTTTTTCTCCTTTCATTTCTAATTCTCAACAATGAAAACCGAATGAACAGATCGGTCTCTCCCAAAAATATCATCAACTTCGACAATCATTCCTATGATACATTTGTTTGAAGTGATTCTCGTTATCTGAAATTGTAAGTTGTCTAATGGTGGAATATTTTTGAGAAAGGGAATATGTTCATTTGATTTTTGCTGTCACTAATTGGAAATTCTAATCTCAGAAGTAAGTGAATGTGGTCTCTTTTCTCTTCATATAACTCACCCGTTCTCTATTCTTACCTATATTGACATTCTTTGACTTTTTTACGTTTCTTATAAAACTAAGTATATTTAATATAATTGAAAAACATTTTTGTAAAATGATTTTACACAAAAAGCGAGCTTTCGATACTTATACTTCACAGTATTGATGATACTGTGAAGTATCGAAAGCTCGCTTTTTGTGTAAAATCATTTTACAAAAATGTTTTCAATTATATTAAATATACTTAGTTCTATTCTCACCTTATTTTCCTCGTTTTTCATTTTCTCCCGTTTCCGTTCTTTTCGTACCCTCCCTCCGTATAGAATTTCAACAGGGTGACGATAGCGAGAGATCATGTCAAGAACTACTGACTGAAATAGTAACTTTCTCTTCAAACAAAGCATCACAACGAGAATGAAACCCGATCTAATATTGATTCTAGAGAGAGCAGGACTCATTGACACTTCGTATGGCTACAAATGACAATGTCGAAGACGAACAAGGGCTGTTGCATACAGGAAATGTGCGACGCATGCATGATCTTGAGTTGACTCGAATGAATGAGACTAACGAACAGGTGGTTAGACATAAACAAATGGCTAAGTTTGAAGAGGTGAAACGTGAAGTTGAGAATTTGAAAGAGGAAGAACAAAAGCGTGTGCGTGAATGTGAAGACGAAATTCGAGAGATGAATCGAGAAATTGACACTGCTGAACAAGAACTCGAACAACTCAAAGCACAATTAGAACAACTTCGGACAGAACAAGAAACAAATGACAGAAATCTCAAAGAAGCAATTGATCAATTGATCAAACTGACAGAAGAAGTGAAGCGTGCTCAAGAAGAATTACAGAAACTTCGTCAACAACAACATCAACTCACTGTTGAACGTGATAAATGGCAAGCGACACTCACTGAACAACAACAACTACTCAAAGAAGAACAAAAACGATTGGCTGATCTTGCAGAACAAATGACTGTATTAGAAAACGAGAAACGTCTACTCGAACAACGCAAAGATGAACTTGTCGATGCACTGAAAAGAGCGGAGACCGATCGAAATCTTGTCGAAAAAGAATTAGCGAAGATTGATGCTGAACGAAGGGAACTGGAACAAGAAATGAAAAGATTGACACAAGAAATCACTGCACTTGAACGAATCGTTCAACAACTGACGGAACAAATACATCAAACTCAAGAGGAAATAGTTCAATGTGAACAAGAATTGAATGAACAAAATGCACGTCTCCAAGAACTGGAAGAGACCAAGCAGCAACTGGAGAGTGAAATCCAGCGACTGGAAGAATCAATTCGACATATCGAAGACATGATCAGGGAAGTAAGTTAAAAGAGAGTGGGTAATATGGTGAGAAGTAGTGTGACCACACTCACCGTCTATGATTTGTTTAGGTAGATAACAAAGAACGCGAAGTGAACGCACAAATCGACCAAAAGAATCAAGAAAAACAAATGGTTGAAAGTGAACAACAAGCAGCTGAAGCTGAAGTTCAACAGTTGCAAGCTGCTGTCGAAGCACTTAATAGTGAATTAGAAATGTTGAAAAATAATCTTGCTCAACTGAACAATGAAGTCAACCAGTTGGAAGAACAAGTACGAGCAGCTGAGACTGAACTCAATCAAGCACAGTAAGTGCTACAGAAATAATATCTTTGCTGATATCTCTCGGCTAACAGAAAACTGATAATTTCATCATATTGCTGTAGCGTGATGTTCGTATACTTCTTTTAATAATGTCTGAAAATAAGATTTATACATGTACATATTTCAGTTCAGAAACGCAATCTCCCCTGACACTAGAAGTGATGTTTTTGTAGAGAAATGGTGCAACGAACAGAGACGGAAATGGGACGTGCACGAGCCTATATCTCCAATCTGACCGAGCAACTTCAAGCAAAGCAAGCTGAATTAGCGCAAGATGAACAACAGAAAGTGCAACTTGAAGCGACACTCGCTCAGAAACAACAAGACCTTCAACGAGCCATTGAGACAGTCAGCCGACTCGAACAAGCCGTCTCTGAAGCTACAAACAAACTTGATGCAGCGACGGATCAGTTTCATCAGGACACAGAAACGTTGCATCAAGAACAAGAACGTGAACTGGAAATGCAAGCAGAAGTTGAAGACCAAGAGTCAACCGTTAACAGAGCACAAAACGAGGCAAATGCCTGTGATCAAAAAGAGAGCGAAGCCAAACGAGAATTAGATACGACGATGCGTGAGGAAAAACAGGCGCAAACCGATTTGGACGAAGTGAAAAGAAAGTTGCGAACTGCTGAGATTGCACTTAATGCTGCTGAAGCGGCTTTAACGTTTGGATCGTTTATCCCTATTATTGGTGTAGCTTGCCGAGCTGGAGCGGCTGCTATGGTTGCAGCCCGTGCGGCGACTACTGCAGCTTTACAGGGAGAAGTGACCAAAGCAGAAATAAAACTGACTCAAGCGACCACGAAACGTGAACAAGCTTTCTCTTCGCATCAGTCTGCAGTCGACGATAAGCGTCAGGCACATGCAAATCTCAAAGAAGAGAAACGAACACTCATGACGAAGAAGAATGAATGGAAACGTCAGATCGGAGTAAAAAATGCAGCACAACGACAACTGGATCGGCAAAAAGCAATTATGGAAAAAGCTACCGCGGATCATGTCCAAGTTGAACATCAATTAGCTGAAGCCAAAGAACAACATACAACAAAGACAAATGAAGCTCACGATGCTGAAGCTCAAGTTCAAAAACAGACTGAACACGTAGCACAACTGACAAGAGAAGCATCAGAATTAGAGAAAAATCAGGCACAAGCTCAACAAACACTTACTACCACAGAGAACACTTTGAGAGATGCTCAAGCCAAACATCAGACAGCAGAAG